AGATAGAATATTCATTTTAATGAAGATGTAATGGGTGGTCTAGAGAGCTAAGAGGAATGTTTGCTAAGCACATCATCCATATAAAAGAAAAAAAACTTTGATTTGCAAAGATGACCCTTAACCATTTATATTGCCAAAACAACAAGATTTCTCTGTGTCTAAGCAAAACAAAATTCTGAACATGGGTAAAAGGGAAGTATGTAATCTAGTTGATTTCACTTTGCGCCCAGGTGCTCAAAAAAATCAGTTCTGTAAATACTATAGAAAGTCAAGAAACATTTAAATTGTGTGTGAGAATCATAGCATACAAATGCTCCCATCTGTTTTATTTTAACCTTTAATAACTGTGAGATAAAACACTGTTTCTCTGTTTTCTGGTTTAAATTATTAAATGTTAACAGACTGATGATATAAAGGAATTGGAAGTCAGGATTTTGTTCACTTATCTCTTACTGGATGATGTGAATCTGACACACCGTGGCATTTTTTTTTTTTTTGTCTCATTGATTCTCTCTTTAAAGATTTTTCTTTTGCCCTAATTCCTAAGCTCTATTGCTTTCTACGAGCACTGACATTTAGTTTACAAATAAAATGGTTTTACTTTTATATAAATGTTCCATTATTATCTGGGCTATGTTGTAAGCATTAATAGTTGTGTTGTTTTCTTAGGCCTTAACACTCATGATGAAAATTTTTGGAACTATTGAAAAGATTTGCACTATATCCTGTACTACCCCTTACTTTTTCTTATTTTCTGCCCTGTTTTTTTCATCTTTCCTTTTTCTCCTGCCTTCCTTCTCAAATTTTCTTTCCTTTCTCCTTCTATTTTTCCCCTTCTTTGCTACATAGGCAACAAATTGGCCTTAAATTTGATATACAGGGAAGAGTGAAGGTTTCCTTTAATGCTTTTAATCTCAAGTGAGAATGATAAAATAATTATCAGATAAAGCAGCTTACAATAAGTGTGTTGTAGGAGACCTAGTTTAAGCTGAAGCTTAGGTCAGTTTATGGTTGTCCTCATGAAATTAATATTTACTTGGGAAACAAACAAACCTCCTGAAAAATAACTCATTCCCAGTGCAATGTAAATAAGTTTCATGACATTGACTAGGTACATAAACGTAGGCTGGAAGAGACTAGTGATATCGAATACTACTGGGTATTTTTCAGCACATTCTTCCCTAATAATGAAACTTCAGACTACGTTTAAGATCTAACTGTCTAAAGACCTGAGCATCGTGAAGCTGATTTAGGCCATTGGGAAACAATGTAGATCATATAATAAGGTATAGGGGAGGTAATCTGTTAAATACTTGCAGAGTGCCTAATCCTCATGTTTAGGGAGGAAGGGCACATTTGACAAGAATGAATAGTATTAAATGCATGATTTTAAAAGGTGGCAGAGTTTTCCTGTCTCTGTCTCAAATTAGTACTCATACACATTACATTTTTTTCAGAATTACTGGAATAGGTATGGCTAATGAGGTGAGAACCAGCAGGAAACTTTGAAACTTATGATTACATTTCTATGATTATAGAAATGTGAAGTAGAGTTTCATTGTAAGTCTTCAAAATATGATTGTTTATGAGAAGACAACTAGAAAAATCCAAGTGTCAAACAAAGATGTATATGTGTAATATTAAGCATTGAGTTATTATTTTTCTCCTGTGCAGTTCAACGGAATTGGTTTCATTAATCACTGCCTGTCTTTAATACAGGGCTTCTATTCATAAGGATTTTTTAAATCAAAGTATATTAGGGCAAGTAAGTACCAGAATATTGTATTTCGGTTGATCACTGTCTCAAGTTTGAGGAAGTTCCCTGATGCTGAAATTTAACTTGGAGACAGCATACACTTCCATGACTGTGACCACTGCAGCATAAGGAACAGTAATGTCCACAGTGGAGTACCTATAATGGAGCACTATAGAGTGAGAATCTATGACGGAATCTACGTAGAGTGTTGCCACTATAGAGTGAAATTCTATGATAGATTTTATTAAATTGAAAGAAAAGTTGCTTCTGAAGGTGTCAATGGAAAATATATACACACCACCAGCTCCTGGAATATACATAATCCTGGGGGGATGTTAGGAAACCAAGTAGTAGTAGCTTCAAGAAGTTGAAGAAATGCCAGTCGTAACTATCATACATATAAAATGTATTCTAATGTCGGAATATACAGAAGATTAGACCAGGACATTATGTAGTTTCCTAAGAGCTATTCATAGAGTGGTGTCTACAGAGTGTCATTATTCCAGAACAGGTCTTTGGAAATGAGCTAATCCATGTTACAGCTGGTTACTGGCTGTCATGTGTCAAACCCTCTGAATTTCATGGGTGAGTATTTTGTTGCATGACTTAGTGCTGTTGAAAAATCCAGATTATAATCTAGCTAGAGAATAAAAAGGAATAGGAGAGGCATACATTCCTTCTCTCCACTCGAGTAGAAACTTGGAAATGAAATTAGAACCCTCTGATACCAACATACGTGTAGAAGAAAGAGGACTGGATCATCAGTATCTCTAGCGAATACGGTCAATCGATGATGCATCTCTATTGTTGGCTGTTGGTAAATGAGAATGCTGGGTTCCAAGATTTAATTATTTCTTCATTACCTATAACCATTGCTTACAGTTGGGCATCACTCATAAAAAGAAGGAAGAAACTATCACTGTGATCTCCCTCCCTGCCGTGCCTTGTGGGCACTATTATTGTCTGATTCAAGAAACGGAGTTAGTTGTAATTTTTCATAGCAGGGTTATAAAACTGAGTTAATTTTCAAGGAGCAAACATTGGTCTTATGTGTGACACACACACTACTCATTAACTAGCTGAAAGAAACCCTGAAGGCTGTACTGTGATAATTCCAGTTTCAAGTTAAAAATCCAACCAAAGGGTGCACAGAGGAAGCTGGGACCAATAAGCAAAAGTCAAATCTGTAGCAATGAGAAAATAAACACCAGTGAAAGACAACTAGTTGAGTGGAGCCTCAGGAAATGGCATGAAGGAAGGGATGGTATCTATAAGACCTTCTTTTGAAGAATTTGAAGGGTTGTTTAATATTAAGTCCCTGCCAAAAGAATAAATATTTTGATGTTTAAAATAATTTGAAAAGCAGTTTTATTCTAAGTTTAATAATATAAACAAGAGACCATCTGTCTTAACCTTATGATTAGCAAAAGATTAATAAACTACAACATCTAGTTTATTTTTTATATATGAAGTTCATTTATTTTTATTTTATATTTTTAATTTTCAAGTTATTTTAAAATTTGTGGGTATACAGTAAGTGCATGTATTTATGGGGTCCATAAGATGTTTTGAAATAGACATGCAATGTGACATAAGCACATCATGGGGAATGGGGTATCCATCCCCTCAAGTGTTTATTTCGTGAGTGACAAACAATCCAATTACATTCTTGAAGTTATTTTAAAATATACAATTAAATTATTATTGACTATAGTCACTCTACTATGCTATCAATAGTATGCCTTATTCAGCCTTTCTAACTATTTTTTGGACACATTAACCATCCCCACCTCCCCATTGCCCCATATCCCTACTAGCCTTCTCAGCCTCTGGTAACCATTCTTCTACTTTCTATGTCCATGAGTTCCATTTTTTTGATTTGTAGATCCCACAAATAAGTGAGAACATGCAATAATTGTCTTTCTGTTCCTGGCTTATTTTATTTAATATAATTTAATAAAATAATCTCCAGTTCTATCCATGTTGTTGCAAATGGCAAATGACTAGATCTCTTTATTTTTTGTGGCTGAATAGTACTCCATTATTATATGTAGAAGCTTCTTACCTTGATTTGATCCCATTTGTCCATTTTCACTTTGATTGCCTGTGCTTGTGGGGTATTGTTCAAGAAATTTTTGCCCAGATCAATATGTTGGAGATTTTCCCCAATGTTTTCTTGCAGTAGTTTTATAGTTTGAGGTCATAGATATAAGTCTTTAATCTATTTTGATTTGATTTTTTGTATATGGTGAAAGGTAGAGGTCTCATTTCATTCTTCTGAATATAAATATGTAGTTTTCCCAGCACCACTTATTGAAGAGACAATCTTCTCCCCAGTATATGTTCTTTGCATCTTTGTCAAAAATAAGTTTATTGCAAGTGTGTGGATTTCTTTCTAGGTTCTCTATTCAGTTTCATTGGTCTATGTATCCACTTTTATGCCAGTACCATGCATTTTTGGTTACTATAGCTCTGTTGCATAATTTTAAGTCAGGCAATGTGATGCTTCCAGGTTTATTCCTCTTGCTTAGGATAGCTGTGACTATTCTGGGTCTTTTGAATTTCCATATAAATTTTAGGATTGTTTTTCCTATTTAAGAATGCCATTGGTATTAACATATACTTGAAAAACAAAACATATCAGAAAGATGAGGCCACAATTATTCCTGAACGAACTGAACTCCAAAATGTGACACAACTGTCATGAAAGACTGGGCTCTCAGACCTCACAGAACTTCATACGAATTTCACCCATTAAGTCAGATAGGGGAGTGGTGAAGGGGGAGTAGAAGCTAGTTAACATTTAACAAACTCGTGATAGTTGTGTGTGTGTGTGTGTGTGCGCACGCGCATGTGTGCGCAGGCCAGATAGCCAGATTGGCTATTAGAAGGTATTAGAAGGGCTCCTCTGGCAGAACCAGTTGCTCATGGGCCTTTTATATAACTTAGGTGAAAGTGTGTTCATAGGGGAACAGAAAAGAAAGCTGAGAAAGATGTGCCAGGAGACTTGCGGGAACTAATCCAAGTGCAAGACCTCCTTACCCCAAAGGCAAGGGACAAGGTAAAGGAAATTGGAAAAACCTGTAAGATGTATTTGAGGTTCTTTCTATTCCAGGGAGTTCTTGGGATGATAGGACATGAGAGCTGAGAGAAAACCCTCTACCTAGACACTCTGGAGTTTCAATTACCAGAGACTGAAGGCAGGAGAGAAAAATTAAGATAAATGACTTCAAACCCTTTCTGAAATGCCATAGAGGGTCAGGATTACAATCTGCCTATTCTGATTCTTCTACTATGGGAAAAATTCTTTTCCACAATTGGTAAGTTTATCAATTCAATATTCATTTCATCAAGCATATACATTGTGGCAAGTATTATTCAAAATGCAGTAAATTATATCTACTTCAAATGTGTAAGATTTAATTACAAATATAATGTACTGTTTTACATATTAATGGTAAATTAAAATTTGGGGCAAGGACAAAAAGGAGGGCACTGTCAAATATTAGGTTAGTCAGAAAATACCTGTGCAGAAAGTGATATTGAAGTCGAATCTTGATGAATAAACAGAATTTTCTTCAGTGGAGAAGCGTCCCTTAGCACATTAAATAAAGATAGGAATACAGTGATTTGCGTATGTTGTTTTGATATTACCATTTTGATACAATCAAGGTTTTTATTCCACCATTTTTATTCTAAAATATTTGAAATTAAGTTTTTGGATATCAACATTAGTATCAGAATCTCACAATGATACATTTTATTTCAAAGAAAATGGTTGAGTTTTTTTAATAACATGATATTTTCATGTTGTATAAAGAGAGTTAAAATATATCTATATTTTCTGCTTTTATATGTATTCTTCTGGATTGGGCAGAATCAGTAGAGGATAATACAATAGAGTCTAAATGATGATATTTTAATATTCTTTTTGGATAATGGTGTGGAAATATAAAACTGTATGTCAAGTTTGGATAAATGCAAGTTAGAGTTGGAAGACTCTCTCCATAATACCTGTAAAAGGTTACAGACTATACAATAACAGCAAGAGTGTTGATGGAAAGGAGAGTATACTTTCAAGTATTATTTAAAAGGTAGGTCACAATAGATCAAATCCTAATAGATATTGATGGAAAAATAGAGGAGGTAATTTATAAAGACTCAGAAATATGGTACCTGAATAATATGTCATGTTAACATCAACTACAAGAGCAACAATATTGGGCGTAACAATTAGAATTAACTGTTTACTTCCTATTTATCTAGCATTATCATATGTGTTATACAATCTAATTTAATTATGGCAACTTCATGAGGAGTTGCAATATTTACTATTATTATTTTTATTTTTTAAATGAGGAAACACATGCAAAATGTTTAACTTTCCAAATATTATAGATGTAATCATTCACTTACCCACCATTTGAATAAGCCAGATTTGAATGATTAACTTCCAATATGATAAAGTTCTTAATTATATGCTGTTTAAATATGTGTAGCAGGGAAAAAACAAACAAAAAAAATTAACCTGCCATTATAAGAAGCTTACAATTACCAAATTTTATTGTTCTATTATGTTTTGATATGTTCATATATTCTACAATAACTACTAAGAAAACATTTAGGTTTTGAGAAATAATTTTAAATATTTTCTTAGATTTTCTTTTAAAGTGTGTATCCTCCTCTCTACAACAATGGGTAAGAAGAAAATAAGACTGTTTTCATAACAGAAAATTCAGCAGTTAAGACCGAATAGCAATGTCTGAGAAAATAGCCTTGGAAACAAAACTGACTGAATTTTTCATTTAGTGAAATGATAGGATAGTCTTTAATTGGCTGATAAAATATACTACTAATATGTGTTTCCATATTTTCCAATTAAAGTTGTGTATATAACTATAATCCAAAGGCAAACCCACCCTGACCTTTAATATTATTAAAAGTCAGGAGTAATGTAAAAATTTTCCTCCAAACCTCTTAATTATGAAAGTCCAGTGCAAAAACTAACACTGCTAATGGAAAAAATTTAAGTTCTAATCCGTAAAGGTAACTTTTTTTTCAAGAAACAGCATATTTTGCATAATATCTAAAATAACACCATTATACACTACAGTAGCTTAAAAATGTGCATTTTCAGTAGCTCTCTTCAATTCCAAAATGAGAATGTCTGATGTCTGAGTTGCAGTTAGCCAACCCACTATCAGCTTTAACTACTGAGAAGTTTGGATTAGTCTATGGCAATCCATCATCTCTTATGGAAATCAGCTTGCAACTCACATCTTTCTAGACTTGGGAGGGGCAGAGGGGTTGTAGCTGTAAATGATCATTGCTAGATATGAGAAGCAGCCAGAACATTATATTCTAGGACTACTAAATCAGCATTAATATTCAAAACTTAATTCACTGTCTTCTTTCCCCAAATTTTTCTACTTTAAAGCAAATTTTCTTAGTAGTGTCACCATTCTGCTAGGCATTTGGGTATGAGAGTATTGTATGGTTTTGACAAGTCCCTCTTACTTCTGTTTTACCTCGAAGCAGTTGCCAAGTCCTGCCTATCTTATATTTGTGATGCATTTTAGCTGACACATCCTCTTTATTGACAGTTTTCATAACTTAATTCAGGCTCAGTGTCTCACACTTAAACTATTGCAATAGCATCCCAATTATTTCCTCATCTACTGTATTCCTTTTCCTGAGTATTTTATAGATGCCAAATTGATCCTTCTGAAATAGAACATAGATTGTGTCACATCAATAGATTCCAGAAGTCTTTAGAATAAGTTTAAACTCCCCAATTTAGCATTCAATCCCTTCCAGACACTGCTCAGAATATTGCTTTCTGTACATAGTTCCTATTGGTCCTCAAGAACTCTACCAATCAAAGTGAAATACAAACTCTTCCCATATTTTGGTGATTGACCAATTTTTTTCTCAAATTGATTTTCTTATTCTTATCATTTTCATATCTTAGTATGCCAATCTCTGTCAATCTACATTTAATATCCTATCTAGTCTTTAAGATTCATCCTATATACCATGTAACTATGATTAATTCTATCATTTGAAAATAATATATTCTTAGCTTAAACTCACAAAACTATTTTTTTCCTCTCAAAGTATTTAGAACAACATCTATATTTATCTGATGGACTTTTCATCATTATAGTTCATCACAGAGTATTTTTTATTTTGTAAGCATTCAATGAATATAAAAATGGATTTTTGTATATCAATAGAAAATCTCATGGGGGAAAGAGAGAAAAGTCATATTATAAGCAATAATCAATGACTGAATTCTCACAGCTGAGTTGTATTGGCTCTGCAGCTACTGAGACAAGAAGGGGTTATTAAACTTCCTCAACTTTCTTTTTTCTCCATGCATTACTATATATGATATTCTCTAAATCTCCATTATGCAAAACCATAATGGCTTGGTAAATACAATGATGAGACTCATCGACACCTGATTTGTGGTAGAACGTGACTTATGAAAGAGAAGTAAGTCAGAAAACTTTAGATTTGTGACAACCGATAACAAAAATAACATTACCTGGCTTTTCAAACATTTTGTGAAAAGCAAGTTCTTTAAATTCTCTCAAAGATTAGTGTTAAAAATTCTTAATCTTAATGACTTGTACATAATAAATGTCCTGATTGAATAATCTCTCTTCCTCAATACACTGAAACAAATGGGATATACGCAGTCGGTACATGTAATCCAACTACAGACTTTTGTGTGACTATCAGTAAAGGGTAAACTTAGTTGTGATCAGTCAATTTGTCTAGTCTAAACAATTCACAACCAGCCTAAATAACAGTAGTAACTCATTCTAGTTCCAAAATAAAATCCTCAAATTTTATTTTATGCATGCCCAAACTGTAAAGGTGTGGAAACAGAAGTGCAGTGCAGTTTCTAAAAACAATGTAAAAAACTGTACAAAGAAAAAATCCCGTAAATGTTTGTATACTATGAATAGATGATTCATGTTATTCAGGTGCATCACTAGATATCATAGTGTTTATTGTCCTGAGACTCAACTCTCAAGATTAGCCATTACCTATGTCCTAATACTCTATTACGACTTGTTATGATTCAAACATGTCTTCTCCAAAGTCTAGGTACCCTCATGGCCTAACCATATTTTAAAGGCCTCACCTGTTAATAGTATCACATTGCAACACATGAATTTTGGAGAGTAGTTAAAGCCCATGCAAAACAGGCTTCAAGCCATTTTTGGCTTGGTTGCTTTTTTACTTTCTGCCATGTGAGGACACAGTGTTCTTCCCTCCAGAGGACACAGCATCCAGGAACCATCTTGGAAGAAGAGAACAGTTCTCACCAGAAAACCAAACCTCCTAGGACCTTAATCTTGGACTTCCCAGTCTTCAGAAGTGTGAGAAAATAAATTCCTGGTTTTTGTTTGTTTGTTTGTTTGTTTGTTTTATTGAGACGGAGTCTCGCTCTGTCGCCCAGGCTGGAGTGCAGTGGTGCCATCTCGGCTCACTGCAAGCTCCGCCTCCCGGGTTCCATTCTCCTGCCTCAGCCTCCCGAGTAGCTGAGGCCACAGGCACCGCCACATCTGACATTATTTTTTTTTTCCTATTTTTAGTAGAGACAAAGTTTCACAGTGTTAGCCAGGATGGTCTCGATCTCCTGACCTCATGATCCACCCATTTTGGCCTACCAAAGTGCTGGGATTACAGGCATGAGCCACCACGCTTGGCCCTAAATTTCTGTTCTTCATAAATTACCCAGTCTGTGGTACTCTGCTGTAGCTGCACAAACAAAGACCTCCCATCACAAACACATTAGTACGCATTTCACACACACACACACACACACACACACACACACACACAGGACATTCTCCTACATAACCGCAATACAAAGCATCAAAATAAGAAAAATAACATTGACACATTACTACCACCTAAATTTCATACCTCATTGAAGTTTTGCCAGATTCTCTAATAATGTCCTATATAAGGAAAGAATCTAGTTCAGAATTTTGTGATGTCTTTTGTTGTCATGTGTCTTTAGGCTTCTTTTCTCTTGAACTCAGTATTGCTTTGACATTCATGACTTTGACACATTTGAGAATTATATGCCTGTTGTTTTATAGACCATCCCTTACTTTAGGTTTATGGGATGTTCTTTATAATTAGATTCAGGTTATGCATTCTAGGGAGTATTATTATAGAAGCGATGTTTTCTTCTTATTGCATCCAATTGGTACTTGAATTTGACATGTTCCATTACTGATGGTGGCCACTTTCATCATTTAAATAAGGTGTTATGTTCCAGGTTTTTTCCTGTGAA